GTCAGTTGCCCTTCCTCATTTGAGTGTTGTAGACAAATTCTTTATTGAACATGTAAACGCTCGTTGCATTTTTTGGCAGATCCCTCTTCCTTCCGACTAGTCACACCCATCAGGTCGCGTTCATAGTAGACGACTCGTTTACGCGACTGAGTCGCGATTGAATTGAGCGACAAAGTCGTGCTACTCACGCATTGAATCGTGTTCTAACCATAAGTGGTTTCTCTTTACGGGTTCTTTTTCGGTCTTTTTTTCGCGGTAGCAGCGACACTGCGCGACAGTTCACCAAAAAATAGCGCTCGACCAATGAAATTTTGGGCATGCGAAGTCACGATGTCGCGCGCTGTCGCTGTGGGCGGAACTTCACCAGCAAGCAAAACCCGATAAAACAAATCATTGAGTACACAATTCACAAACACCAATCGCGCGACTGGGTCGCCAACTATAAACGCGACCTTACCGGTGACTTGCCTCCTTCAAAAGGAAGTTCGAGCATCATTCATCTGTGGGTAGTACGGTCGGTCCGGTCAGTCACTCTCAACGCAATCTCTGCCCTTAATTTCACCTTTCACATTCTAGTTAAGTCAACATAAGCAGAACACTCTTCCGATATTCTTCGCAAGCACCTCTATCGATCGGAAATCGAAAAAAGCGACGCCGGTTATTGATCCTTTTTGTTTTCATTTTCTTCACTCCAACAAAAGCCAAACAAACAACCCAGTGTTTTCGCGGATCTCCATTGCCTTTCACTCTCTTGTCCCACTTACACGTACAACTTATCGATAAATTCTCACCATTAATGCAGAAACGTTATGAAAGTTTTTCTTCCCATGAGAACTCTATTTTCCCCAAATACCTTCGAATCAGGAACAGATTATTTGAGTGATGTAAATACACATATATGAGTTTGCAACATTATCTACGAATGCTCCGTCATCTACATATACATTCACAGATTCTGCAACTGCACAGGCAACGCCTTATTCACGTAGTTTCTATTTTCATGTTTTGTGCTGTTTTCGACATATTTTGTTCTTCACATGAGATTTCACGTTATAAATACTATCTATGCAGATTTTATGTCCTGTGTGAACCATTGGAACTAAATAAATTAAGTAAAATGATATTGCAAGCTCAATAAATTGCAGCTAAAAAAAGACATGACCTTAAAGGCAGGTAGCACGATAATTTGGTGTTGAAGAATCGAGAATGTGCCTATTGTGAAGAAATCCAGTGCCTTCAAGGGAGTAAAAGGTGGCGCTTTCGCGTGGTTAAAGGAAGCGATTACGCAAAGGAATTTTCCCATCGGGGAAGACCCTGCGTCACACGGAGCAATTACTTGGCCGCCAAGGAAGAGATGTGTGGCCCTCCCACGGCGGAAGGTGCTGTGGTTGCTGAGCAGGACCCGCGCGACGCCCCGCCCTCTGCGACGTGACGCCCACAGGTTCACTCGGTGGCTTGGGCGAGCCGTGTTGCCAGCCGCAGCGCGGTTAGGGCGCCATGCCTGCTGTTTGCTGCCCAGCACGCGTTGCGCAATCTCGTCCACGCGTGCGCGGTCTTCGCCGCAGTCCATCTGAGAGCCGCAATCAACGGCCACAAAAGGGGGTCCCATTTCTCGTTTCCTGAACGGATTTCGCTGCTTCTTTCGCCACTGACGTACCATTGAGGACCCCCTCGTCCCCTCTAAACCCCATTCAAACCTAGCGTAACCGCTGCCTTTAAAGGGTGCATCCGTGGGCCTGGCCAACGCTCAGGCAACATGTGCGGCCGCTCATCAAGAAGCATACTCATTAAAAAGTAATGGCCGTGGAAGGCTCGAATCGCACATCTACAGCCTCTAATTGCGGAGGAACGTGACTACGTCGCGAGAAGCAGGCACGATGAAAATAAATTCACTTGGGCTGAGTACATGCAAATCCAGCCGCGGGGGGGGGTAGAGTCACATGATCGCTTCCCGCCAAGTCCAATCCTCCCCCCATCCCACCTGTGTTCACTTAGCGCGAATTACGCCAATCCACGACTATAGTAATGCGACGGCGTCAACTAACGATGTCCGCAACTAAGAATAACGCACAAAAGCGCGCCCACCTAAGAGGGGAATGTACATTGTCCTTAAGGCTTGTCGGACGTCCTGCGATCCGTCCAGTTTCGCTGCATCTTTCGCATTGCCGCCATCGGAATTCACCGCGGATGACACGGATTTGGCGCATTTGCGATTTTGTGCGATCACGCGGCCAGGCGGCACTGGGAATCAACAAAGCAGAGTCAACCACTGCGTTGCGCAGTTTCGCCCGATTAGACACGTTCTCTCGCTCGCGAACATTCACACTCGCATGCTCGAGCCGTCTGCGTCTCCGCCCCATACAGCGTGCGTTGAGGATCTCTCAACGTGCCGTTGCGAACTGCGCAACGCAGGGAGTATCTGAGTTCCACGCCTCTCACGGTTGAGAATACTGCTCATGGACAACTTCGCAACTATCGATCAACAATTCATATTTACTCACCCAGATGGTTTTGTTTGACTTAACAAGATGATTCGGTGCCAAAATGAATTCATCAGGATCGGATGCTAAACGCCGATGTATACACCGAGATCCTATTAAAATCTTGAGAACTCTCACGCAAACTCCCTAGTTCAGCGCAATTATCACAGTCACTGTAAAACTGAAATGTATATGAGACAATGGGCTACTTTGATAAGGTCCATCGCTGTTACTTCACAAAGACTACAGCAATCTCAATTTTGCATGAAGAAGCTCTGAAGAGGCCTGTGGAAGCAAAAGCAAAACGATTTTCACACCACAGGGATCCCGATCTCCTTTTGCCAGCGAATAGATTTGCTTTAGGAGGAACAAACCGTCGTGCGCGATGTGCTCCTCCTCCCAATAGTAACGAAACCGGACAGTATAAGGAAAGCAGTGAGAAACACGTGTAACAAATTTATTGTCCACACATAACAATAACAAAAATTAATTGTATCCATAACTCTCAATGATCTTCTAGTACGGAGCAATTGGCAGCGGCGTTTTTCTTGGCCTAAATGGTATGAAGTTTTAGAATAGTTAAATGTGAATAATCAAACACCTCTATATGTGTACACATTTGTATCGCTACCACTTCACTTAACCTGACCTCAGGTAACGCATGGGAAAGAGAATCAAAACACGGAGCATTTTGTCGGGAAGAGGGGGGACTGAGGTCGAACTCCTTCATAAGGCGAATCGCCACCACCCAATAAGAAAACAGCATGATAGTCCCATTTTCTATCAATGACTAATTCACAGCTTCAGTCGGAAGAGGTGGCGGTGACCTATACAAGAATAGGGATGGAGCTAGGGCAGGGAGCTAACGCGCCATCTTTGTTGAGACGAAATGTACGTATAGTTCGGACCGCTGACCCCGTCCACTCTAAGGCTGTCAGAGAATGCGCAGCAGAGGCCGGACGCATAGTCGGTCGGACGACAGCAACGACTGCAAGTGTCGCACAGCATTGGGTGCGTATCGATCTGCGACACCTGCGGTCGTTGCTGTCGTCCGACCGCTGCTGTCGCAGATCGATACGCACCCGATGCTGTGCGACACTTGCAGTCGTTGCTGTCGTCCGACCGACTATGCGTCCGGCCTGGCAGGCAGGTACTGAACTATGCTCGTATAACTGAGCCTGAGCGTGCCCACCCCACTTGTATAGAGCCAGAGGTGGAAGTTCGTAAGTCTACAAACTTAAAAACCATAAAAATTCTGCAGGCAAATTACAATCTCGAGATAATTACCCCTTAACTGACCGCACCTAGGTAACTGGATACGAAGATACGTTCATCACGCAATCCAAAACAGAATATATCACAGAATGCGTGAAAGGCCATTAAAAAGATTCTATATGATCAGTTAATCGAAAACAATGATCTCAGCTTAAAGAACAAATTTGGCGAACCTGTTCGTACAACTTGTCGAGCTTCTTCTTCTGATCGTGGTATGCTGCTCCCTTAACTTTCCTCTTAGCTTCAAGCTTGGCTACAACATCCTGGTACTTCCATCCGACTTCGTGTGAAAGGCGGCCAACTGTAATTGGATGGAAATTCGTACAAATGGGAATGACCAAACTCGAACATTTGGTAGAAATAGAAAGGCAACGCACCTGTACAGTGCTTGCGTCGTGGTTTCAGGCAAAGATGTCGGTTAGCGACAGGTGCATTCATCTTCTTGACGCGATCATATGCGCTTGGAACACCCTCATAAACTCTGAGATTCTTCAGTGCAGCATTTCCATGAGGAGTCTTGTGAGGCAGCATTCCTGAACAACACTAGCACTGTAATCTACCATAAACAAACGTGAGGAGCCGCTGCGGAAATTTTTCCCTTCAAATTGCCATATGCACATAGCACTTGAACTGGCGTTATAAGCCAGTTTGGAATTCAAGGTCTGCTTGTGTGAAGACTCACACCCTCCTCACCCTCCTAAGTTAGCACGCTAATTGGACTTTGATAATGATAGTGGCTTGTAAGAGTTGAACTCTGAAATTAATCACATGCGTCAGGTCCAGCATAGTAGCGAAAGCTAACATAGGCAAGAAATCTAAAAGCAGATACCCCAAATTTCAGAATCTGTTGATGAAATCACAGCTACATTGAGGTGTGAGAACAGCTAGACAGTGAAACCCATTTACAAAAATGCTCAACACAGGAATCAGCATTTCCCAACAAAACTAGAAAAGCCAGAACTCAAAATTTTCCTTCCATTTCTAGCATTACTAGCGGTGAGGATTTGTCAAGAAAACAGGCAAGAAACCAATGACAACGGTTGTTTTCATTGAAAGAGGATACAGGGGACACAAAGTTAACAGTGAACTTCCACTCCCTTGTGGAGAAACGGACTTCTACAAGCGCTTCAATGATAAAGTGACTCAGAGAAATTGTGCTTTGCGATGCGATCACACCAAAAACTGAGGTTCCACTTAAAATCTAGCATACTGAGAAAATGGACCGTAGATCAGGAAATAATGAAAATAATTGAGTGGTAATTAAGTTAAACCGCATAGACCCGCTTTCAAACGCACCAATAGAACTCTTACATGGATTAAAAAACGAAAATTAGACACCTAGAATAATTGCCAGATTCCTTCGAAGTTCAGAATTTTTACGAAGTAGCAAGACTTCTTGTTCATTTGCAAAAGTTTTTTTTTCTGTGGTATTTATGTTCCCTTGAATGTCTACTGAAAAATCAAAAAAAAACTTTACCAGATAAGTAACAGTATTGGCAATTCTTTTGAAAACAGATTGCTAGATGGCGGATGTGATCACGCAAATATGAGAAGTTCAGGGAAGTTGAAAATTAGATTAACGCCAGTGAACAACTGATGAGAACATTTAGCCTCCAATCTTGAAATTTTGCTCAACTGCACCATAAGAGAGCTACTCAGCTATATCGCGGGTTTATATGTCCTACCAGAGATAGTATAAGCTTCGTGTAGTGTAAAGAGTTCTGATCCTAGCCCCAGCTAAGCCTAAAGAGTAAAAGTACTGTTCTTCGGGATTGCTTGAAAAATCCGAATCAAACGAGAAGATTTATGCTCGTTTTAGGTAACCTCTCAAAGTTTGGGACCTAGTGTTTCACAAGTTTCCAGCATTTATGAAGCTGTTATAAAGTACTAATACGCTTTGGAAACAAAGGCGGAAACTCCGACACGGTAGACGCACTAAAAATGCCGCTAAGGTGCTAAAGATAAATATTCGGCCGGAACTTGCCGGCAGTCAAGTTCTAGGAAAACAGCGAACATTCGATGGAACAACTTAGCTTAAACGTCTATGCAAATGCGCACTTCCAAAATAAAATGTACGCAGACTAGAAAAAAATGAACCAATCAACGCTTACCTCTTACAGTTCTCCAGAAAATCTTTCCAGGTGATCTGTAGTGGAAAGCACCACGAGCGGGATTGATATTACATCTTTTGCGGAGGAAACTCATGTACTTCAGTTTTGATCGGTGGAAATTTCCAGAAATGGCGATTTCTTCACATCGCAGAACAGCAACCTTTTCGCCTTGAAGGAGCTGCTTGGCAACGATCGAAGCCAGACGTCCGAGGAGGTGATCCTTACCGTCGATTATGATGGGCTTATTGTGGAGACCCATTCTACCCTAGAAAGTTAAGATTGTAGGAAAAACGCAAAAACCTATAGCAACACCAGCAAACGGCAATAACTCGCTCAAGTGCGAATAATTGCAACATATTACACTTAAAACCACGATAAACATGATCACTGCGAATCACTGAAAATGTGGGAAGATCGGTCCTGAAATACGGTGTCAATGTAGTCGTATATTCTCCATATAACATTTTCGAGATATAAAACTAATCACAAATACTGAAGTAAAACAGAAACGAAAGTGTAGTTGAGGGGAGGGGGTCGGCAACAGTCACCCAATTTTTTGCAGGGAACAAGCTCCCGGTTGTGTCAAGCACGCTACTTGTTCAAAAAGGAGACTATGCGAGTATGAATCGAAACGTTTGTTGCAGTGTTGAATGCTTGGAGTGCTCTGTGCAACGAATCTAACTCCAGTTGGGTCTTCACCAATTGGTCAACATATGAAATTGAACTAGATGAGAAAGAAACCGAATATTTCATATGGACATAATTTTTTGTGATAAATGAGTTGCTTCTACCAGCGACAAAGTGAAGTAGGACTCCTCCAAAACAAATGTGTTCGAATATTACCATAGTATGCTAAAACAAAGAGCGAAAGCAAACCAATCAAGAGCTACACGTCCCAGAGAACCCTTCAAGCCATGAATCTTCACTTGATTGAAGAAAACTTCGAAAGAAATCAAAGAAATGAGTAAGCTTAATAACTAACCTCAGACAAGTAAGCTTAATAACTAACCTCAGACAATGCTATTTAATCGGGACAAAACACGAGTTACCGACGATAACCTCACTCAAGTTCTACTTAAGGATCTTCTTTAGCAATAAAAACGTGAAAAACAAAACCGTTTATCGAATAAATCCTTTTGAAAAGAGGAAATCCTAAAAGAAAAAGGAATGAAGTTTGCATTCTCTTGTGTTACGGTAGCCTGCGCATCAGTGCAAAGGCGTCCTTT